TTTTTTTTTTTTTTTATGCTAATACTAATTATTTTGGTGGAATTAGGTATTAATGCAATATATTTTATATAGGTAGTATAGATGCAATTAAAAACAAAACGTGTGGCAAATATAAATTCCCCTTAATTTTTTTAATTCCAACAATTAAATTTTGTAGATGTTGACATAATAACGATTGAAATTTGTCCAACCTAGAGATGGCCACGGGTGGACCCGGCGCACAACCGGCCCATGATACGCAAATTAATGAACCAGACCCTTAGCCTTTAAAGGCCTGTTCAGGGTCCATTTTTTGCCTTTTTGACCCACCGGGCCGGGCCGGATCCAGTTCTCCGGCTGGTCGTAGTTAATTTTTTATTTTTATTTTATTTTATTTTTTTAAAATCGACGGTTCAATAAACCTCCGTAATGAACTTGCCCTTAGGTATAGCTAGGCCGGTTCTGGGTCCAACATTTGAGGCCCAGTGACCCAACGGGCCGGGCCAGGTCTGGAACCAGCCCAAACGTTGAACACGTCTAGTCCAACCCGGTGGGTCGGCGTCAATATCTTTTCTTTTTTTTTTTTCGAACTTCCCGGTCAAGCCTAAAACCAAAACCGGCTGGACATGAATCAAAGCTGCTAAATAGCCGGGATGATTCAGTTCAGTTTATATAAATGGCCTTTGCCCTTCCTAATCCTAGTGACCATCACACATTGTAACTTTGGGTTCCATATAAGTTGCATTAAACAATTGATCATCATTCATTGAAAGGCTCAAACAGAACTCAGCAAGACATTAGAATCAAGTAAATCAAGAAACACTTCTTTACCAAGTTTGTTCAATATGAAGGCAGAAAAGCCCAAATGTATTAGCAATATGTGACTCAAGCAAAGCAACACTAGTTTGCACCACCCTTTATTTTAACCATACCAACAATTGAAATCATCTGGTTCTAAATAATAAATTACCGGGAAATATAAACATCTAACGGGAAATAATTCGCCCAAAAATAATCTGAAACTTCGATAAATATTTGACATCGCAATTCCACTCGTGAGTTGATCTGCATGGTGATGCTCGCCACTTTCTGCATTTCTACTCGTACACCAAAAATATGATGTGAATATCAGCTGATCACATTTGGAACCTTAGAATTAACATATGGAAAGGGGGTAAATAGAAAGGTACCAAACTGCCATCTTCAGGCCCTTCCATCCCATTCTTGATAAAACTCTTCCAAAAACTCCTCCATGAATTTGTGCCTTCTTTCCGCCCTCCTCTGACCAGCCTGCCATTTGTCGGCAAGTTTTTCGTTTAAAAAAATATAAACGGTAACCAGAAGAAAGATCTAACAGAAAGCTTTGGAAGAAATAAAAAAAAAAAAAAAATTATGTGATGAAATACATAATTCTGTAAAGTGAAGACTTAATTTTGTGTCTTGACTAAATTTTAATTGAACCTTTGTTTTCATCAACTCTTTCAACTTGAGAAGCTTCTCATGAAAGTGGTTGACTGTGGTCTGCTTGTCTTTATTCATGTACTTCTCCTTGGACAAATCCGATCGGGGTTTTATGTTGGGATCATACAGCACACTGTTCCTGCTTCCACCAAATGTGAAGCAACGAGCAATTCCTGAAATGCGTCCATGTTTAAGTTATTTAACTTTAACATTGTCAATCACAACTAAAAAATTAAAATAAAACCAAACGATAAACATTAATGAATTCAAGAAAGGTGACCTTGCTTAGAAGAATAGATATGCATGTAGTGTTTTGTTCAAGATGGAAAAGGACAATAATATGCACTTGAGAAATCAACGGTGATTAATGCAAACCCAAGAATCACAACGCCCAATTAGCGGTTTCTTTAAACCCATTTGGCAAGTCATTTTATGAAAGATTCTACTTTGTAAAACACCCTTTCAGAAAATTTCTCGTCTGCAGCCATATGGCTTGTGCAAGAAAAAACTTCAGATCAAGATATATGCGAGAGCACTTGCATGAATAAAATTGCATAGAGCAGACAGGAAAAATAATGTGAACACACACAGATACGAGCAAACAAAAATATGAACACTAAATAATGTCGAATATGTAACTACACCTACGGAAACTATTACCTATGGCACCAATCGCATCAAGACGATCAGCATCTTGCACCACCCCAAATTCTGGGTATTGAGTACCCCCTGCAAGTCCTGCAACCTCCTCTTTGAAACCTGAAAATGTGAAACAGTTCCAACTTTTTTTTGGCAATATATTCGTTAAAAAAGGGATAACTGGAAGAAACGTATGCCTCTCGAAGTCGAGCGTAAAAGTATGCACCTTGATGCAAATTGCTTAAAGTCGATCGGAAAAAAATGTAGATGTTTCACATGCATTTAAAACAAACATACCCATTCCTTTTATGATGCCTAATATCCGTGACTTGATACTTTCATCTACTCTTTCTTTTACAAGAAAGTCCTCAACAATCTTCCCTTCAGACGGATCTCTAGATTTTATAATATTAAAAACAGGAAATAGCTGATCAGAGACCAAATCGAGTGGAAGTGAGAAAATGTCAATTCCTTCATAGAATTTTGAGCTGCAGTCAGAAAATAGTTAACCAGAGACCATATTGAGAGGAAATAATCAAAAGCTTTTTTTTTTTTTGCTACAATTAGGAAAAGGATACACTTAATTCAGCTTCTTTGGTGTGGTATTGTTCAAACATTTCAATGCATATAATTTTGGAGATATCATCAAGTGTCCATAAAATTGCAAGTTTTAGTCAATGAACCAATAGATTTCATTTTTTCTCCAGCAAAACATCCAAAAGTTAACAAAATCAAATAATAATAAAAAATACAAAATTGCTTTTCATGGTTGAATGTAGTAATATGCAAGTGAAACAGGCAGTGTATGACACATAAGCAGTCACTTAAGGAGAGAAAGGATAACGAAGCTAACCTCATATATTTATAGTCCCCTGCAGTTGGTAATCCAATAAATATCATTAGTAGATTCAGTACATTTACATAAAAAACATACGCATTAATAAATGAAATATATAAGAAGATAATCAACTATGTTGAGGATAGGCCGTAACTTGCTACGAGCACAGCAAAAGAAAATCTTAAACATAATTCATAAAATATCAGATGACCAATGTCATATATAAAGACGGAACAAGTAATAATACACAAGAACAAATCTGCACTTAACCAATAATCAGTCCTCCAGAAATGACAACTTATGTAAGTGTGGGTTGAGTAGCACCCATGTCTAGTTCCGTATCCGTGCTCATATGATTTTGTATTGGTCATCACCCAAAGACAGTAATAATGATACAATCCATTAAGTCAACAAGAATAAAGTTACGAAACTAATGTGCCATGGTAGCGCATTGCTCTCATTATCCCGAGCCAGTAACAACATAGAAAACCGAAGGAAAAGAAGGCAATGTTACCTATGTCATGTAGAAGTGCAGCTAACTCCACCTGAAGAGTAAGAGAAGATATAATCTCAACTAAGTACCTTCTGTTTAGACATATTTGAAACATAGGAGACAAAATATTCTGATCCCCACAAATAAAGCACATAAACACCATAGAATAGAGGAGCTTCATGAAAACTGAAGTTCATATCTTCATGGTGCTTACATTCAAACAAACTATGACTACGATTCCATTCACAACACATGATGATTACCAGATACACAGCAACCCCAAAACTAAACATCAAATCCTAAGGCAGTAAAACCAGAGAGCACAAATTGGACATTGAAATAGACACTAGCTTGAAAATCAATAAATGCAGCCAAACCCAACCCAGATCAAAAACCCTGCTCCCATTTCAAAAATTTCAGTGAGATTTCACATGTACGCCGTAAACATCGTCCTCGTTCCAACACAGAACACCAGCAAACACAAACACAAACACAAAAATTAAAATTAGCTTACAATGAGAATCGAATCAGGAGAAGACGAAAACCCCTCTTCACGGGCTAGAGAAAGGGCTAGGTCTCTGACTCTGAAGGCGTGGGCCGCGTCGTGGGATGCGTCGTTGCCTCCCATGGCGGATTTAACCAACTCCTCGGCCCTTGCGATTATCTCACTCTTCCCCATACTCTCTCTCCCGACTCGCTGAATGCTCGGAGGAGCGAACGGGCTGCTAATGGCCGCTGAAAGAGGGTATGACTTGTGGAGACTCGCCCTGCAGTATGTATAATGGCGGCGCTCGATTATTGGTGCTCGAGGAAGCGAGGCCCCGGGCTGATTACGTTGAATCAAATCTGGGGCCCCGGATAAAACGCGAATTGAGGAGCTACCACAGGTACTCATGTTTTATCAGTTCAATTTTTTTTTTCGTCACGTATGAAGTAATACGAATTCGCGCATAAAAGACACTATCCCCTTTCATATAATTTCAAAACGTGCCGAGCTGCACACTTGGAAATCTTATTTAGCAATATTTCATGCTTCAATTTTGGCTCAGATAAAAATTAAATTAATTATATGACTAAAGAAATAGGTTCAGACATACTATGATTATATTTGGTATCTACAATACTATTTATAATAATTGACTAATACCATAATTAATTACACGCCATCTACATGACGTTAGATCAATTAATTATGGAACGAATAGATCTAAATATTGATTATTATATATATACTTGTTAAAGGCTCTTTTTTATTTAATTATATTTGATTAGTTGATTACTCTAAATATAATTTTTATAGGCTCTTTTTGATTTAATTATTTTTAATTAGAGGGCATGACACTTCGAGTTTAATGAATACGTGTTTTCTTTAAAAAAAATATAATTTTTCATGATTCACAATTGATTAAATGAATAAAATAAAACTTATCTATTATTTCAATTATTTATTTTTTTTTTTTTCGAAATAAACATCCCAGAATGGGATAGGGGCTTGAGGCTACACCCCCAACCTGTGAATATAAAGGCCCAGCTGGGGCTAAAGAGTCAATAGTCTACATCTAAGTCCGAGATACATAAAGCAACACCAAAACAAAGAAAATAAAATAAAAAATAAAATGCATAAAAGGCCATCTTGGTCAGGGTGACCAGACAGGGAGTCCACAAAGTCAAAACTAATCAGGGGCAGGTGGTGGCGGTCGACCGAATCTGAAGGATGGGTACTCTAACTGGTCCATCCGAATGAGCGTCCGAAGCCGGAGGGGAATGTCCTCAGGAAGGAGGGTGCGTCTCTGGGGTATAGAAGCCCCCGTGCTAGCAAGAAAATCAGCAGGCCGATTCCCCTCCCGGAATATGTGTGAGATCTGGTAATGGATCGAGCGGAGGGTGTCTCTGATACGCATAAGAGGATGCTGGATCTGCCATGAGCCCTGGTGGCCAGATGTCAAAAGTGTGATGACAGCCGCAACATCCATCTCAATCCAGACATGAGAGGAGATCGAGGCGGCAATCTCGAGGCCAATCTGGAGCGCCTGAATCTCTGCATCATAACTCGAGGAGGCCCGGAGTGGCCCATGGAAGGCAGAGATGAGTGCCCCACCATGATCCCTATTCAGGCCCCCTCCTCCAGCAGCTCTGGTATGTCTGTCAAAAGCGCCATCAGTGTTTAGCTTAACCCAAGGGGGCTTGGGTTTCAGCCAAACAACGGTCCTGGGTCGTGGATGCTGGACAGGTAAAGGAGGAGGTGGCCTCAATCGATGGGGCGGAGTACACCCTGTCCAGTCTCTCGTCGTGAGTCTACCCAGGGCGGTGAGGAGGGAGAGGTGTCTGTCAACCTGCAAAATAATGTGAGCACAAGAAAATATAATATCCCTATGCTTCGCATTATTCCTATCTGTCCAGGTGGCCCATAGGATCAGACAAGGAATAAGGAAGCCCACGTGTCTACTGTGTGTGCGGTGTAAGAAGAAACACAGGAGCTCAAAAAAACTGTCTGTGGTGGGTAGGGGTATATGAGTATATCTGGCATAGTGCTCCCACACTCTCCTCACAATCTCACTCTCAAGGAAAAGATGGGCGAAAGTCTCGATCTCAAAGGTACCGGTCTCAGCACAACAATGGCAGCGGGAGGGGAAAGAGAACCCTCTCGCCTGCATCACAGTGTCAATGGGAATCCGCCGTAATTGGAGACGCCACAAAAAGACGGAAATGGCCGGGGTGAGAAGGTCAGTCCATATGGCCCCGAAGAGGCGGTTTGGCCGGTTACCCAGCCTCACCTCTCCCCAGGCTGAGGACGTAGAGAATGCACCCGAAGATGTAAGTCTCCACCTCATGCCATCCAAACCTCCCTCCATAATGGGGATCTGTCGGATCTGGTCAATCTCTAGACTACTAAAACCCCCACCCTCACCAAGAATAACCTCCATCCTATCTCTATCCCAAAGCCCTCCCGTCCAATATATCTAAATCAAGTTTTAAACAACAAATATGTTATTTGTGGTCATATAAAGTATGCACTTTATATATCAATACGCTGCACTTTATAAAACAACATGTTGCACTTTATGAAACAACACGTTGCACATTATTACCATACTACACAATTAATGTCAACATCTCCCGCCAAAATATTAGGCAATGTAAATCTAAAATACGGATCTACATAATACTTTAATATCCATCACATTATCTATTCAAAAAAAAAAAAAAA